TCACTCAGTCCAAGGGCAGATAGGCTGTGTTAACCCAGCATTTGGGCTCTCTGAGCAGTGCACTGGAGAATGCACTTTTATGCCCCCTGCTTTTGAAATATTACATTTAGCAACAATAAAAAATCTTTTGTAATATCATTTCTCTTTCCCTCCCTCTCCTCCCCCTCCCCGTTTCTCTTTCCCTCACTTTCCCACCTCACTCCCTTTCTCTTTTCGTGCCCCCTTTCTCTTCCCCTTTCTCTTTTCCTTCCTCCCCTCTCTCTTTCTCTTCCCTCTCTTTCTCTTTCCTCCCTTTCTCTTTTCCTTTCTTCTTCTCTTCCCCCTTCTTCTCTTTATCTCTTTCCCTCCCTCCTCCCTCTTCCCCTCCCTCCCTCTTTCTCTCTCTTTATTTCTCTGGTTCTCTCACTCTTTCTCTTTCCCTCCCCCCCCTCCTTTTCTCTTTCTCCCCTGTGGAGTCTTGCCTCGCTCTTGCCTCTCGGATGGCTTTTCTGGAAGAGCTTCCCAATGGGGGAAACGGGGTCCCCTCCTCCTCCTGTAACTCATGACAAAGGAGAAGCCCTAGCAGCCATGGTGGGCAAGGAGGGGTATGTGCCAGGGTTGTTGCCGTCACCTCTTCTTCACCGCTTCCCTCCCTCAAAATGGCTCGCCTGTCTCTTTAAATTGCACCTCTTTGTCTCAAGGGTCTGAGAGGGACAAAGCAATTGGGAAAGGATTGGGGTGTGTGGGGGGGGGGAATAAGGTAAAGAGGAGAACCGGAGGCATCTCGGATCGTTCTCGCCTCCCAAATAGCTTTTCCAGCAGATTACTATGTTGGGATGCTCCGTGTCCCTCTGCCCAGCTGGGCTTCGCGGGCGCGCTGCTCCTGTGCTCATCAGCCCCGGACAGACATCAGAATCCCATCTGAGAATCAAAAGCCATCCAGGAGGCGAGAGCGAGCCGAGAAGCCTCCATTCTTCCTCCTTACCTTATTTCCCCCTTCCACGTGTACACACAAACACACACACACACACAAATCCTTTCCCAATTGCTTTGTCCTCCCCTTGAAAGGATCCTGCCACACGCATTTTCTACCAAGGACAGGGAGTACAAGTGGTGACAAAGAGGCGCGATTTAAAGAGACAAACAAGCCAGTTTGTGGGAGGGAAGTGGCGAAGAAGAGGTGGAGGTAACAGCAGTGGCAACAGCCCCAGCACACACCCCTCTTTGCCCGCTGCAGCTACCAGGGCTTTTCCTTTGTCATGGGCTCCAGGAGAAGGGGAAATCTCCCTTGTTGGGAAGATCCCACTCTCTCTTTCTCTCGCCCATCTCTCTCTTTCTCTATCTCTCTTTCTCCCTCTCTTTTTACATCTCTCTGTCTCTCATCTCTTTCTCTCGCTCTCATCTCTCTCCCTGTCTCTCTCTCATTCTTTCTCCATCTGTTTCTCATCTCTCTCTTTGCCCCCCCCCCCTGTGTATATGTGAGTACGCACATGAGCAAGCCTGATAAGAGGACAGAGCCAACATCATAACTGCCCGTTCCTCTTTTCCTCCCCTCTTGTTGCAGTCATGCTCTCTTCTTCTTTCCCCCTCCTCCCACAAGCTTGCCATTTCCCTCACGGAGCATGAAGGGCTTGAGACTTTCCCCTCTTCTCTTTCACAAGGCGTGGGATGTAATGGAAGCAAAAGCCACCAAATGGTGCACATCCTCCCAGAGCAGCAGTTGCTCGGCTTGCCCTGATATATCACCTTTTTTTTCTCCCCATGCCTCATTTTTTTAACTTTAGAGGCATAAAGGCAAAGCCCGAGAGGCACACGTGCATGGGGCACTCTGCCCCCTCCCCTCCGCTTTGTTTTTCTGCCATCCTTTTCACTTTGAAAAGGTCTTTGAACACATGCTGAGGAGGAGCAGGGAGAAACAACCGCTGCCGCTGCCCTCCCCTCACTCAACCTGTTACTCAACCTCCTTCCCGCCTTCACCCAAAGCCTCACACTGCACCAAGAGGCTGAAATTGGAATTCTTTCCTTCTCCTGTTGGCAACAAGACTGTTTCTCTCTGCCCCTTTTTTCCAGCCAAAAAACATGATGGCAATGGCAGTGACAACTGAGGGACCCGGTTTGGAGCGTGGTCAGCCTGGATCATTGCTGGTTCCAGCGACCCAGGCTGAACCAATAGGAACCCATCTCTGGTGCCATAGGACTATTCTCTCTCTCCTTTTCAATATCTACATGAAACCACTGGATCAGGTCATCTGCCAGTTTGGAATTAGGTCTCATTAGTATACTGATGATAGCAAATTATATATTTTGATTCCAAGTCAGCCAAGTGAGTTTGGCAAGGTTCTGTCCTAAGTGCTTGGAAGCTATTTGGGTTTGGATAAGGAAGAACCATGTCTACCTCAATCCATCAAAAGTGAATGGCTGTGGGTGGTTTGGCCACCCAGATCTAGGGATATTTCTTATTTGATGCCCTTCCCCCTTCAAGGGAATCTAACAGTTTTGGATTTGCAGCTCCTGCCTGAAGAGCAAATGGGAGTTCTGGCCGTGAAGGCCTTTAAACTCCATCTGATAAAACAGTTGCACCCTCTCTTACATCAGAGGAACCTTCAGATAGGCACTTATGCCTTAGTCACCTTGTACTCTACATAGGCTGTGCTTGAAAATACCCAGAAGCTTCATTTGTTCCAGAATGTGGAGGAATGAACAGTAATGGGCACATCTTCATATGCCATGTAAAACCTCTGCTTCACAAGTTGCATTACTTCCAGGGACAATTTAAAGCACTGATTTTTCTCTACAAAGCTCTATGTGTACCGAGTTTGATTACTTAAGGAATTACCTGTATCTCATAACAGCCACAGAGCCAATTAAATCCTGAAGAATTGGTACACTCGGAATTCCTTCAATTAAATAAAGACAGCTGTTGGAACCCTGGAAATATGCTTGTCTACAGCAATGATTGCCCTCTGCAACAAAGCTTTGCTATTGTTTAAATGATCTATGAAGATCTGGATTTTTACCCGACTTTCTTGAAGGAAAGTCCTCTTTCTTCCTTCCATCACATCTGTTGTACCTGCTATCTTTTAGACAGACTTTTTTCTATTCTCCTAGAGCAGGTTTTTCAAACTCGATTCTGTTGCAGGCCGTATCAGGAGTTTGTTTGCCCTTGGGGTGATGAAGGGGCATGGCCTGGTTGTTGGGGTCGACTGGGTGGGAATGGTCGGGCCAGCAGGGGCCAGTCACTCGCCATCTCTGGGACGTCGCGAAGGGCCAATTCTGCGGCCTATCACGGGCTATATTTAGCCCCCGGACCATGTGTTTGACATATCTGTCCTAGAGCTATATTAAGAAACCTAATACATGAGTTTTAGGATTACTCCAAAAACTGTAAGCATCCAAAGCCTGTATCTTGATCCCTACTTTACAATCCCAAACATTTCAGAAAATGTACTTTAGGGGCAGTGAAGGTTAACCTATTTGGTGACGAATGCCCAAAGTGTGTGTGTGCATGTGCGCGTACTCCAATTCCCAAAATGCAATGCGAGCACCTACGTGCATGCATCCCTGATGCCCCATTTTGGCTTAAATGTTGGTGCAGGAGGTTTCCAGGCCCAAAACGGGACACGGGGGGGGGGGGTGGAAGGCTCACACAGCGCTCATGCATTGTTTTGGCTCCCAGATTGGTACAGGCGGCAGAAATGGAGTTGATAGGGCACACTGAGGGCGGGGAGGTCAGAACCTATGGAGATCGGGGAAGAGACGACTGGCAGAAATGGAGGAAATAGGTAGGGCACATTGGGGAGGAACATGCAGAGATTTGGAAGGCCCGGCCCCCCATGCATGCGCAGTACAGACCCGAAGACCAGCTGGCCAGTGGGAGGTGCACGCACATAGACGGTGGATCTGGGCTGGATTGACGGCTGGTGTTCCTGCAGAGAGGGTTCTATGTGCCACCTGTGGCACATATGCCAGATTCGCCATCACGGATTTAGGGAAACAAATTGGTCATAGCAGTAAGATAGATTAGTTTATATCTATCCAATTAGCTTCCTCAGAAGCAACAACAGTTTACTTACGAAACAAATTTTCCTACTTCCACTTGTAATATTGGCTCACATAACTGTACTTCCAAGAGCATATCTTCAGCTTGCATAACATGTCCAGGTTTTATAGGATGGGGATGATAGATTCTAAGAAATCCCATATAACTGCCCACAATAATTTTATCTGAAATAAAAACATATTTATGGAAGAACAATGAAACAAACAAATATTTAACAATATTCGAAACAAAAAACATATTCAATGCATTCTTCAAAGTTTTAAGTAAACAAGTCAGAGTGTGAAACTGTGCTTGTTTTATTTAAAATAAGTATCATTTACATTTTTTTCTATAATGTAAGGTATCCACATATCAAAGTCCCCTAATATTTTATCCTTACCTAAGCCAACCTATTAGTTGGGCTAAGAAATTATAACTGGTCTACAGTGTTTCTCCAAAAATAAGACAGGGTCTTCTTTTCTTTTGACTCCCAAAAGCAGCGCTTGGCCTTATTTTCAGGGAGGTCTTATTATTTTTGAGGTGCAGGAGGTAGCAAGAGTGGTCACCTCATGGCTGCTATTGTGTTGCAATATTTTCAGGAAAGGCTTATTTTCGGGGGAGGACTTATTTTAGCACATGCGCTTAAAAGCCTAGTTGGGCTTATTATCCGGGGATGTCTTATTTTGGGGAAAACAAGATAAATCTTCCAAGTAAGCTCCATGATTCAGATATTTTATCTAGTCCCAGCACTTTACCATAGAACACTAGCTATTTTCTTAGAATTTAATTCTTCTAAGTTTAATAAGATGCATCTTACAATAAATAAATAAATTACATGTTGATTGGAAGAATAGAATTTCAGAATTTTAATTACTTTAAATGTAAAAGTATCCACTTACCTTGTGCACTACTGCTATTGTCAATATTTGCAACACATAAACATCCTTGATCAAATTCTTCTTTATTGCCAACTATTGTAGACCACCACTCCCGAGCTTTAAATAAAGACATTCTCTATCAGGCCTACTGGAAAAAAATGACTGGCATAAAAGCCTTATTTTGACCCATTAAAAAAAATAATTTATATTTCATCTAACATCTCAGTTTAACAGAGAAAATATGAAGATATATTTTCCTTCAAAACATCACAATAATTACTTCAGATGAGAATCAAGTTCATCCTTCACCTGCTTATGAAATCCAAGTATGTATTGACATTTTAGTTGGCATCCCACAAATAAAAAAAAAGTAAACTATACAGATAGGAGTGCAGAGTTAGGAATAAAGATTGCAGTCCAGCGGAGTTTTCCTTTCTATGTTCTATCTCAACTATTAAACCCATTCAGGAATTTTTTTAAAATAGTTTATGAGTTAGAAGGTATAAATATTTATCCTAGCATACAAATAAATCCTCATGCACCCTGGAGATTTTTCTGGATCAGAATTACAGAAATTATGTAATGCTCAAAGGAAGGAGTTGTGTATATTGTAAACGTAAAATACTTTAACATAGACCATTAAAAAACATAAATTAGAAATTCTATTTTGCATTTTCTTTTATTAAATAAATACCCTCACAATAATATGGTACAAGAGATTAATGTTTATTATGCTGGTAGCTTAGTAACATAGTTACATAAATTAAAGCATGAGGCATCCTTTCACTCACAAAGGTTTGAAATAAAAGCATACTGTATCTAATTACTGCATTCTCAAAAAAGAGGCTGTTTGTTTTTTAAGTTATTTTGCAATATTAGATTCCCAAATGGAAATCTATTTATCCAATGAACTACCTTATTCCTTCTTATTTTGCATTTCTCTAAAAAAATTATATGCCAGGTATTGGTTGGAGCAACAATTTAACTTGATATGAGAACTTACAGATTATTTTCTAACTACTTCAAATGGGCTGTTTGGACTCAACGAGCCTTGCAACGTCCTGCCATAAGCAATGGCACTGATGCAGTGGTCACATGGTGCCCTGCCACAAGTGGCCTCAGAAGAAACCGGGCAGTGGTGCGAAAGGTGTCGGGGCTTGGGTGGGCTAGCTGCAGCGATCCTAAGGTAAGCTGGTTTGGGGCACATGGGGCAGATCCATCCCCCAAGCTCCATCCCCCGACCCCTATCTTAGCTTGATTTTTACATATGCACCTCATCCTACCTCGTACAACCAAATGGTGGGTGGGGTCTAACTAAGGCTTATTTTGGAGTAGGGATTATTATTAGGGGTAGGTGTGAAAATCAGGCTAGGGCTTGTTTTTGGGATAGGTTGTATTTTTGGGGAAACATGGTACAATGTTTTACATGTTCACTTTCCAAATTCTATTTCAATAACATTTTATAAATCTTAGCAATAATATGCTATCACTACCACACAGTAAGATTTCAATTCATTTTAGCAAAATCAAACCTACAATTATTTTTATCTTTTAAATCATTCAGTTGTTGATATGTAAACCAATGAAAAACATAACATTCTAATTCAAGTTATTCCCTTGACTTTAATATAGGTACACCAGAGTTAAAAGATAATATTTTGCCATACATCCATGAGTCTGGCTTCGCCACCATCTTTTTTTTTTCTAAAAAAAGCTTATTGGGGACATCCAAAGAGGCAACTTCATAGACAATCTTGTTTTATATTTATTCCAAACTCTTAGTATGACGTGTCTAGCAAAGTGATTAAAATCAACATTACTTTTAACTTTATCATACCATAAATAACTGTACTGTGCAAACCTTAATTCATGGCCCTCTAATTCAAGTAGCCTGTTATTCTGAAGGTTCATCCACTCTTTTAACCAGGCCAGATAGCCTGCCTGAAAATACAATTTCAGGTCTGGTAAACCCAAACCCTTTTTCCTTAGCAATTGGAGGGAAACAATCCTAATGATCTCAGAATACAAGGTGCTTTGTGAACATGAGAAAAGGAAAACTGAGTGGCAAGACAGAACAGAGAATGGCTGATAGACCAGAACAAAAATGTTTCATCAACAATTCCATTTATAATATGAAAATAATTATTCAAAACAATAATTATTCCTATCCTATTCCTATCAATGGCAATAAAAGTTTCCCTTTGATTTTTGTATTTTTTATATAGATGTTCATCTTGTTATTTGCAACTTTAAGTGGCAAACAAAAGATTAAAAAGCAGCAGAACAAATACGGATTTTAATAGGAATGCAGGCATAACCAGATCATTTAATTCTCTACCATAATTGACTTAAAGTTGTCCTTGTGACCATAGCTAAGGAACTCAATCTGGCAGAATATAAATAGCTTGTACTAATGCCTACTTAAAGTTATTTGATACAATATGGTATGTGGTGAAGAAGAAAATCAATAGTCCTTAGCTTTATAATATCAAGTGAGTATATTAATGCAGTTTTTTAAGTGTACATAATCAAATAACATTACCTGCTATCTCATTTTTCTACCAATTACAAAATTTATGGAAAAATTGTGCAAATGTTGCCACTTTCCACAAATACTGCAAAAGTTCTTTTAAGAGTATGCCAGTACTGCTACTGTTAACTTGTAATTTTAAAAACAAAAGAACTTCTTTACAATGCTCAGAACTATAGAGCTAGAAAAACTATCCCAAGCATATTGTATTGATCCAGAAAACATGTACAAATGCATAAATGAACCCATGGAAGAAGGATGCTTACATCACATTACATCCATGCAATCCAAACTTAGATATATTTCAAAGCAAGCATGCATAAAATAACATGATTATAATGGCAATTTTACACTTACATGATCTCACAAGTTTGTTGTTGCTAGGTAAAAAGTATTATGCAATTGCAAACAATAACACTTTCCATTGAGCTAATTATGCCTATTTTATTCACTTACCCGACTTGTTCTGTAAATGACGAATTTTCCTTTTCCCCACCACCTGTGCTTCCTTATACAAATTTAGTTACAGAGGAGCATTCCAAGAATTGAAGCAATATATATACGTGTTACCAGAGAAGTGAGTACTAGAGGGTCGCTTCTGATAGACTTGAAAGCTTCTTACTCTGTCAGAATGATAATCTTTTAAGTTCAACCCTTTTATGCCAGCCTTACACGATAAATCTATGAGAAATTAAGTAGACAGAAACTGCCAAGGACAACATAAAATCATATCTACTAAATAGAAACGTGGATAAACGTAATTACTCGACAATGAGATGAAACTGACCCAGCCATCCCACCCGCCGCCATTTTTGTTGCTGTTGTCATAGTACCTCGACAAACCAACGTCTGCTCTGACCCTCCCATTCTCAAAGAAATCTCTTTGGTCGGGAAGGCTGTAACGGCGTTGAAGTTTGCAGCCGGTGGGAGGAGGAGGAGGAGGAGGAGGAGGAATCTAGGCGGAAGAGTGCACGTTGGGAAATGTAGTCTTACCCCTCAAAAGGGTAAGTAACTGATGGACTAGCGGTAGATTGGGTTGTACTATTCAGCGTACAAAAAGAGAAATAGCTATGAAATGTGGAAGTATTCCTTCCACAGCATCTTGTTAGGTTCAATTTTAAAATGTAAGGAGAGAAACGGGAGAGTTGTTCTGAATTAAGATAATTAGAAAGACAAAAGAGAAACTATTCTATTCCGTTTTGGAGTAACATGGTTTCTTCCACAGGGTCAGTCAAGTCGTTACTAATAGCCTTATTAGTCGTTCGCTGGGTCAAACGACGTTTCTCTTGTAGACTAGGCGCACTTCCTGGTAAGAAAAGAAGTGGAGCCTCTTAGGTAGCAGGAGACGGGATTCACTTACTTTTCCCATTTAACGACGTTTTGACTCAAGAATAGGGATACCACGAGGATCCAGGGCAGGCGGCGTGCAGGGCCTCAGAAGGTTCAGATTCTGAGACGTAGACGAAATATCTATTTGGTGCCGTTCCAAACCCGGTGTGTAAGTGTACCACCATGGACAAGAGCGCCGTAGCCAAAATGGGAGCAGTGGCCAGCGCTAGTGTGTGCGCCCTGGTTGGGGGAGTAGTCCTGGCCCAATACATCTTGACCGTAAAGAAGAAAACGGGGAGGAAAACGAAGATTATAGAGATGGTAAGCACGTTTTAGGATTCTAAATGCCCAGTTTTGTGCCTTCCCTCGGAATGTCATCAAGACTTGCAAACCGAGCAACCTTTCAACTAGTGCTTACCTATTTTGGCACTATTGATTGAAAATGAATGTTAACGAATAGAATGGGGGTAGAAATATAGGCCTCTGAAAATGAATAAGTAATAATACTTTATCAATTGGAAAGGATGCGGAAGGAATTTGGTAAACCAGACAGAAATTGTTGACTCAATTGATATAATTATATGTGTTTATAGAATATATAGTTTGCAAACTAAGCCAAGGCTAATACTTAAGGCATTTAAACACTTTGTTTGCTTTTTTAATATCCATTCCCAGGTTATCCAATAAGCAAGTTTGTTGGCAGTCTGGAATTGACTATATATTCATAAATGTGAAATCTGCACTATTTAGGTAATATGACCATCATCCCTTTTAATCAATGAAGGAATAGGTTAGTTCATGAGGTTTTTTTCTAAGAATATTTTGAGTAAGAAAATATCAAATTGCTTTAGTCAGTTCTGGTAAACATCTATTAGCCAATTGCCAAAAGAAACATACTTTTATCACTATTACCTTAATTTACATGTTTACTTTGCAGGGAGGAAAATTAAAACACTGCTGAATTACACTAAATATTGTTATGCATTATCTATGGAATACTCACAAGCAGTCATACTTGCAAAATAATTATTTTGTATTCTTTAATATAATCATGTAAAGCAGAGATACATTTGTCATATGAAAGTAATTACAGGTGTTTTAACCTTTATCATTCTTATACATTCATTGTTTCATTTAATAGATTATAATTTAATATCGTTTCTTATTCCCCTGCCTGTAGCAATCCATCCCTACTACATTTCCCCACACACACACACCCCGTATCTCTCTCTTATATATTTAATAGACACAACAATAAAATAGGATTTTTTTAAAAAAGGAAAAAGCACAAAAAGAAAAAGAAAAAAAAACCATCATCACATGCAGCATGTCGTTTGGTTACAAGTGTTTTAACAT